AGCAAGGAACAATGGTATTACTGTGTGAGCCCATTACTGTAAAAAAAACAAAGAAGCATTTGCTTGAGAACAGGAACTCATTTTGTAGATTACTGTGGTGGGGAGGGAAGGAGAGGGATTAATTTTAAGCTAGTTGGGGGCCACAAGCTGAAGTGGGTAAAGGGAGGGATGGAATAGAAAGAGTCTGTGACCACCATGATAGTATAAGGAAAAGGGAGGATACCGAAATGTGCACATAAGATACAAATGACAGATGCTAATACCAACCAGTATATCCACAATACTGCATTACCATTAACACCAAACACCAGGCTACAGATAAACACATAAACATCTGAGAAGATCAGATGGAGGTCAGTGAACAGGAGTATATTCTAGGCTAAGGATAGATTCCTCAGAGGCTAATCTTGCTAAGGATAGATTCAGCAGAGGCTAATCTTGCTAAGGATAGATTCAGCAGAAGCTAATCTTGCACAGCTACCAGTGATACAAAATACTCGCAAACCTTACAGAAACAACAGAAGATGGACATAGAATAATCCCTCACAGACAGCCAGACACTCTGGGAGAGAGATCCAATGGTTCTAGTGACTCAGAACCATAGTATTGGGGGACACCAGACTCAATCCGCACAACAAATATGTAAAAGTCTTGTTTCCCATTCTACATTGGTGAGTAGTGAGTGAGGTCTTAAAACCTTTCAAGCAGCCATGTAAGATGCAGTTAATAGTCTCCTATCGTCAGAAGCGAAAAAGAGAGCCAAAAGCAAGGACATTTGGAAGCAATCAGCCTGAGGACACGATGGCCCTAGAGACCGGAAAAACTAGATGGTGCCTGGCTACCACTGCCAACCACTCAGGAAAGGATCATATGTGAAGAACCTGGATAGAGTGGGAGGAAAAATGTGGAACAAAATCCAGAAACTCAATAATGACCAGAATTACTGGTCACATGGAGTCTGGTGAAACCCCTACTACTATACACTCTGGGCCTGGAATAAAACTTACTCCTGGGGCTGGCTTCAGCTCAATAGTAAACAAGATGTATACACAGACCACTCAGCCCAGTGTGATGTACCCACATACCCTATGGAAATGCAGCCCTGAGAGCAATCAACCACAGGGCACCAGATGGGCAACATTTGCATGGAGGAAATGCAGGACACACAGGAGTGCATAACTATGAGGGGCACGGAGGGAGGTAGTTACTGAGCAGGGAGGGGAGGAGATTGGGTTAGGGTTGGGGATGGTAAGTGGGGAGTGAAACTAAGTGTACACATAATGTTGAATGTAAAACAAACTCTGCTCTTAAACTTGCGCCTGAAGCAGAATAAATAAATACAACAAAATAAAAATAAAGACTAATTGAATGTCTGGAGGAAAAAAAATGGCATTGAAGGAAGGAGTTCAAGCTGTCCCCAAGGATTTGGGGAAAACAAGGCTCCAGGAATTGAGGGAACAACCATTGTGATGTTTTATCACACAGATGCAGTGCTGGAGGAACTCGCTGATTTTGCCAAGAAATTTGGAAGACCGTACATGGTCAGTTTTTCATTCTGTTGAACATGATGAGTTGAAACTGACTTGATGGCACCTAACAACAACAACAACAAGACTGTCCTTGAGACACCACTTAGGTTTGCATGTGGGAGGGCTGGAGAAAAGAATGGGTTCAGATTTGAGGTAAAATTTTTAATTGGTTAGTTTTGGGCTGTAGATTATGTTGCACTCTGAAATATTGTAGCTTCATGATATGTTTTAATACTAAATAGCTCAAGTCCTGCATCATCAGTATTTCTTTTTAAAGTCTCAACTATTCTTGCTTATTGTCTTTGCTATTATCTGCCCCATTCTCCTTCACCACTAGAAGGTAAACTCCATGTGAGCAGGGAACTTGTCTCATTCAATATTCAATCTCTGAATACCTAAAATAATGCGTGGCATAAAAAGACCTGTAACAAAAACTAGTCAAAAAATGATTTTTTCCCACAAAAGTTATTGAATAATAATTTCGAGTTCTGAAAATGGTTGCATTGTGCCAACAATTTCTTATTACACATAAAATGTTATGAAGTTCTGCTTCCATGAGTGGCAGAAAAGTTTGTATCAGACTAGCCCTTTAGCTGAGAAAAAATAGGAGACCTGGGTTTAAAAAATATCCCTGTCAATATGCTGCTGCAACCATTTTTGAATTATATTCAGCAGAATTTTACTTGTGTGTGATAATAATTTATTGATCGATAATTTCTGCATTCAGTTGTATCATATTTCCATAGGCAGTCCGTAAAGATTACTTCAAGGAAACTCTATCAAGTAGTTCTACTTTTTAAAAATGAGGTCACCATGAGTAGGCAGCCAATTTGACAGTAGCTAACTACAATAAAGGAGCTGTGGTAGTTCAGTGCCTAGGGAATTTGACTGCTATCCAAAAGGTTGGTGGTTCAAACGCACCAGCTGCTCTGTGGAAGGAAGATGGGGTAATCTACTTCTGTAAAGATTTACTGCCTCAGAAAACCAATAGGAGTTGTTATGAGTATTCATGGACTTGATGGCCATGAGTTTGTTTTTTTAATTTAACAGCAACAATGAGAAAAGCATTTTAAATTGATGAAAGACATCCACTCCTAAGTTAAAGAAGCATTAAATAATTCCAAATAAGAAAAGAAGTAAGGAAAACCAACTATGCACACTAGAGCTGAAATCCAAAGACAAAGACAGAATAGACACACTACAATCAAAAGAGAAACAGTAAGTTTGACAGATGATTTCTCAACAGAAATGGTGGAAACTGAAAGACAATGAAATGGTATCTTGTGCTGAAAGAAAATAAGAACAAAGGTAGAGTTCTACAACTGTGGAGGAAGATCCTCCAAAATGGGAGCAGGATAATGACATACCAATGCAAGTAAAACACTGAGAGAGTGTGTCACTAGCTGGAGCTACACTAAAGAAAATATTAAAAGCAGCTTTACAGCAGGAACAAAATTATCATGATCAAACAAAGACATTGATAAACAAATGAAGTGTGATACAAGAAGGCTATAGATACATAAATGTCAATGAATATTGACAGTATAAAATATCTTGTGAGTTTTAAAATTTTTATAGAAGTAAAATACATGGTGACAGTAGCACAAAAGTTAAGAAGGATCAACATAGACTTAAAATGTTCTAAGTACACTGGGAAATAGTGAAAAGTCTAATTTATAGTTAACTTAAAAATTCAGAAATTCATGTAATCTCCTCAAAAATAATTTAAAAATATGTAACTGACTAGGAAATAGATGAGAGAAAATAGAAGAACAAAAATCTCAAAACAGTCCAAAACTCCTAAGCAAGGAGAGAGAAGGAAATGGGCTTAAGTAGAAAACAAACTAAGATGGTAGGTATCAACTCAATGCTCTGCATCCTTGCCAGCCCTTGATACTGTCAGATCTGTTGTTAGTTTAGTCATTCTTCTAGGTGTGTCATGGTATGCTGGGGTTTTAATTTGCATTTCCCTGATGACTTGATGTTGAGCATCATATGCATTTCATGTGCTTCTTTGTCATCTGTATTTCTTCTCCAGTCCATTTATTATGTGGCAAAATACTAAATGCTGTGTCATTCCACCCATATGACATTTTGGAAAATGGCAAAACTACAGAGATTAAAAAAACAAAAAACAAAAAAACAGATCAGTCGTAGCCAGTGGCTGGGCATGGAATATGGATTGAGTACCAAGAAGCATGAAGGAACTTTCTGGAATGATGGAAACAGTCAATATCTTGAGTGTGGTGGTGCTACACAACTGTATATATTTGTCAAGACTCATAGATTTGACACAAAAGGAGTAAAAAACTGAATATCTTATATGCTCGAGAAGCTAATTTATAAATAAAAACCTTCCTACAAAGAAAATGCCAGGCACCAATACCTTCACCAGTGAATTCTCCTGAATAATTAGCAAGGAAATCATACCAATCTTAAACTTCTCCGTTTGTTTTATTAGGAAGGCACACTATTCAAGCCCTCAGAAGCTGGAGGCCTGAAGTGTTTCCTACTAGTGAGTACAACAGTGTTCTGTGTGATGCCCAGGAGGCTGTGTGGGCATGGACCGAGGGTATGGAGGCCTGGTGGGGAGGGGCCAGCAACAGCCTTCATAATGGCCACAGGCAGTGGGTGACAGAGAAATTGTTAGGTGATGAGAACATGCCTGTGTGGGAAGGAAGCCATCCACTCAAGACTGCAGTACAGAGGCCCTGATGGAGTCCCCAGTTTATCTCCTGTAGAGTTAATATTCTGATTGTCAAAGTTTGAAGCCTTCACAAGCTACTGGGTCTGCACTGGTACCTTTGGACTTGCAAAGTCAAAGCATGAAGATCTAATACGCAAAGAAGTTGAGGTCATTGATTTGTCCAGAGGAGGGCCAGATCATTGGAGGTGAAAAGGATGCCATAAGCAAGGAAAGAGCCTGGGTTTCTAGGATGATCACTGAAATCATAGTGTGAGTTTTCCCGGATTCCACATCTTCTAGCTCAGGGGCAAGACTAGCATGGAAGACTCAAGGTCTGGTCTAAATGGTAGGAGAGTAATTGAAGACAGGAGTGTGAGGCTACAAATTTACAGATGGGTCTAAGCCCAGCTAACTTTGGGAGGATACACTGGTGAGCAGCACGATGTCTGGGGTGAGATGGAGCCACAATAGGCTGGTCAGGGCACATGAGGCAGCAGAGCAAGAAGACCCAGGAGAAGGCTTGGGCACAGGAGGAGGAGGTGGGCACACAGCAGGCCAATTTGCACACGCTAAGAGAGTTCACAGCAGGAGGAGGCATAGGTAGAGTGCTAGAAGCACAGCCGATAGGCACACAGTGGACAGGCTTGCAGCAGACAGGCATGCAGTCAGTGAGTAGGTGTGCAGCAAGCAGGTGACAGGTAGCCTGCTGGCATCAAGAGGAAGCACTGGAGCTGGTGAAGACCAGTGGGCAAAGGATGCCTCCTAGCATCAAGAGTTGGACACACCAGCTCAAAGGAGTACAGATGAGGTGACCCCTGGGGGCCAGAACATAGTATGTGGGGGTGTAGCAGGTGGAGGCAGAGCAGGTACACAGACAGCAGGTGGGTATACAGCAGCTCTCTGGACAGTTATCCACCTGCCAGAAGGAGCTGGTGCAAGATTCACAGAAACCAGATTGGCAGACCCAGCTCCCATAGCTGAAGTCACTGGAGTAGATAGACATGGTGGAAGCAGTCATGGTGGGGTGGCAGCTGGCACATGGTGAGGTCATGGAGAAGTGTTTGAGTCCCTGAATGAATCAGGAGCTCTAGACTGCGGGGGCTTTTATATCTCTCAAGGTGTGTTTTACCTGAAGTAGGACCCCAGGAAGCTGTCTCTATCTTTGGTGTTTTGAGACAGGAGGACACTTATTAGGCCAGGTCTGTTGCTGAGTGATGTCCTGGCTCAGTTCATGAACCTTAGATTTCAGCAGGGGATGAGCTGCCACCCTGACCTGAATATGGCTATAGCAGTGACCACAGAGAGGGAGGGGCACCTCTGGGAAGCTGACCCTAAAGCCTTCTCCCTTAGGTATTGGGTGCTTCATGCCAATAATCACCAAGAGGATGTCCTCATATGCACCAAGTTCCTCTCTGCAGGACTTCAACCAGGATATGCTTGGCCTGTCTTGGGACTAGGAGAGAGATGGGGATGAGTGTCTTATTTCAGGGGAACATGATTTGAAGATGGACCTTCCTGGCAGCTCTGTAGTTCCATGACCCGAATGTGGTGCTGAGGTCAGGGAGGAGTCTGAGGACTGAGGGCAGGAAAAGAGATGCCTGAGAGGACCCCTCCCCTCTGCTGTCAGGAGGAGGCATAATGTTTCTATACGCCACCTTTCCCTGATCATCCCATTCATTAGGGAGACCAAAATTTGAACCAGTCTTAACAGCCAACAGTCTGTTGTCCTGCGGATGGCAGCCCTGGGTCAGGACATGGACATGAGAAGAGGGTTTAAGTTGGAGGAGGCAGGTGTAAAGCAAGCGTGTGTGATGAGGCTCAGACACTCACTGTTGGTAAAGCCAGTCAGTGCCATGGAAGTGAGCCAGGTAGATCAGGCTGTGACCCTGAGGCCATGCATACACCTGAGAGACCATATTCAGGAGCAGTTATGAGTGGTCACAAAGATGATCCTCTCTCTTAGAGCCTGTGCCCTCAACAAGGCCACCAAGAGTCACAGCTGAGAACTGCTATATTCATTATTAACATAATTTCAGCCTGGTCTCAGCCAGGGGTTGAAGTTACAAAAGTCCACCCAGCTGCTTGGTATAGGAAGATTGAGCCATGGCCAAGGGTAGGTCCAAGCAGTACCCAGGACAGAGATGTGGAAGGAAAAAGGTAGGAAGGAAGTGGGAGGAAGTGAAGAGGAAGGTAAGGAAAGTGAAGGAAACGAGAGGATGAAGGAAGCGCGGAGGAGGGAAGGGGAATGAGGAGGGTGAATAACTAAAAGCAGAACATATGTATTCAACACAATAAAAAAAAAAAAAGTAGACGGAAAAAAAGCCTTATCTTGGTCCATCGGTCAACTACATAAAACCAGTGGAAACAAGAAAAATAGAATACAAAGCTTGAATCAAAATGGCAGATTTAAGGTTAAAGTTGTCAGTTACGAAGTAAATGGAAAAGGTTAAACCTCTTATTAGATGAAAAGATAGTTTTCAAAATGCTAAATAAAATAAAAAACTAAAAGATGATAGATAACTAATGTCACAATTAAGCAAGAAAATAAAGAAGTAAAAAAAAAAAAAAGAAAAGCAAAACTCACTGCCATTGAGTCCATTCTGACTCATGTTGTTGTTGTTGTTAGGTGCCATCGAGCCGCTTCCAACTCATAGCGACCCCATGTACAGCAGAACGAAACACCGCCCAATCCCACGCCAGCTCCATGATCCCTGCTATACTTGAGCCCATCGTTGCAGCCACCATGTCAATCCATCTCGTTGAAGGCCTTCCCCTCTTTTGTTGATCCTTCACCTTACCAAGCATGACATCCTTCTCCAGGGAATGGTCCCCTCTGACAACATGACCAAACCAGGTGAAACGAAGTCGGGACATCCTTTCTTCCAAGGAGCATCTTGGCCGCACTTCCTCCAGGACAGATCTGTTAGTTCTTTTAGCAGTCTATAGTACCTTCAGCATTCTCTGCCAGCACCACAATTCAAAAGCATCAACTCTTCTTTGGTCTTCCTTATTCATTGTCCAGCTTTCACATGCATATGAG